GTCTGACCAAGATGGCCCATTTCATCCCAGTAAAAGGTCTCCCCACTGCCAAAAAGACAGCTACTCTTTTTCATGACCATGTCTTGAGGTTGCATGGAATCCCTGACTTCATTCTCTCCGACAGGGGAACACAATTCACATCCCACTTCTGGAAAGCCTTCTGTCAATCTTTCAATACCTCAGTGGACATTTCCACCACCTTCCACACACATACTAATGTCAAACCAAATGAACAAATCAAACCTTTAAGACATATCTTTAGTGTTACATAACACATCTGGAAACAGATTGGAAAGAATTGCTTACTACTGCAGAATTTGCCTATAATACACATATTCACAACTCTACACATGCCTCTCCCTTCATGCTCAATAACGGATTCCATCCCACATCCCTACCAGGACTGTCTATTTCTTCCACTGTTCCAGATGCCTCCACTCATGTTAACCAGTTAAAACAAAGATTTCTTCATGCTCAAAAGACACTACAAGAAAGTCAATGCCTCTATAAATCATATGCAGACCATGAGAGAAGAACACCTTCTTCATACCAAGTTGATCAACTCATCTGGTTAATCACCCCAATATCTAAAACTACCCTGTTGTTCCAAGAAGTTGGGGCCTAAATACATCGGTCTATTCCGTATTAAAAAGATCATCTCTCCTGTCGTAGTTCAATTAGATTTGCCTTCTCACTACCGTTTCCATGTATCACTCGTCAAACCTTTTAAGGAAAATACTTTCCCAGATTGGGTCATCCCTCCTCCAGCTCCTGGGATTGTCGCTGCAGAACCTGAATACGAAGTACAGGACATCCTTGACTCCCGCATTCGAAGTGGGAATCTTGAATATCTGATACATTGGAGAGGATACGGTTCTGGCTTAGGGTGAGAAAAAAAAAATACTAAAGAAAAATAAACTAAATAAAAATATGTGTTTCTAGATAGCAGCGCAATTGTAAAACAACAAAATACAGCTGAGTAACAATTGAATACAATTAATTTGGCTCCGATTTTTTTACCTTGAGCATTTTTATTTTATATATCTTTTTTATTTTTTTTTATTTTTTGCCGTAGATCGAACCATGTGTTGACTTTGATTTGTTAATAATGTTAGTATTCACACAGCATGGATTGATTTGATGAAGGCAATTCTTTTCTTGAAGGTAGTAAGACGTATGTATATAAGTAGGTTAAAGCTTTAGAGACTGGATCCATTGAAAAAGACTTTTCACAAAATGATTCATGCACTGTGCGTGATTACCACTGCGAACAGTTATAATAATTACACAGCATACCTGAATTATTTTTGAACTGAACAAATTTAGAGTGAAGCATGTTATGCATTTTTCTCTATGCATCAGTAAGACTTTTCTGTAGGCAGTTCGGCATATCAATTCTATTTTTTTTTTTGCCATATTATTATCAGGTATTCCATAAGATAATAGGGCACGATATTACCTGCTAGCACATTTCTTCGCATTAAAACAACAAGTGAAGATAAACTGCCAGTAATAGCAAATAGGCTACATGACACAATATATTTTCCTTTCATTGGGGTCTCTCCCCCATTCTAGATCTTCCCGACTTTCACTTCTACCTTCTAGAGCAGCGATCTGAATCTACAGATGTTGAGAGCCTACAATTCCCAGTAGTCCTTGAATTCAGTAGATAGCCAATGCATCATGGCAGTTGTTCAGCAACATCTAGGGTTCAGAGTTTGAGATTCCTGTTCAACTGGTTACCCTTTTTGCTCTTTACTGGTCTCATTTCCCCACTTCAATTGACAGTGCTATGTGGCTACGGAGAGCTCTGGGTGACAAGAGAGGTCAGGATCTGATAACTTAATGGTCCTTGTGAAAGAGTCAGTGGCCTGGTGAAGGGTCTACATGATGAGAACTGTTAAAGGGATTCTCCAGCGCCAGGAAAACATATTAGTTTTCCTGGTACTGCAGGACCCTCTAGTGCCCCTCTCAATCCCACCCCCTATCCCAAGTTGCTGAAGGGATTAAAAACCATTCATTGACTTATCGGAGCCCAGCGCCTATGTCCCACGGCGCAGGGTCGGGCTCCACTTCGCATTGAAGTAATACCAATCAACACAAGTGCTGGTAATTATGTATCAATGGAATGGATATAAATTAATACAGATACTAGACCCAGAACGTGATCCAAAGAAGCCATCCAGTCGAAACGCATCATCACGTTGTCAGACGCACGGTGAAAGCTCGTATCCTCTGGGAGACCTGTGCCGCGTTCCAGTGCCCCTACACATTGCAGGAGCTTGTTAGAGGGTCTGAGGACTGGTTATAGAGGAACAGAGCTGACATAATTTTAATTTTCTACTGCTGTGAATAAAGGTTTGAAACGCATCCAAGTTGCTGTCCTGTCTATACAGTGGTCCTGTATTCTGCATTATCTGGGCTATTATAGTGAGAGCATACTTCTACTGCTCCACATTTGTGAGTTGATTGGTTTACTTTTTCATATACTTTTATGTAAATATTTACAGATTTACACTATGTGCATTTTTTTCTTTTTTTATCTCCCACATTTTGTGCTCTGAGTCATTCAGTATTTGGGAAGAAACATTTCTCCTCCTAAAAAAAGATATTTTCATGTACGTGTTCTCTCTTCTGCACTTTATTGCATCACTGGGTCACTTTTTTGATACATGATATAGTGTATTACGATTTTACACTATGGATTTTTTGTATAATAATACGCACAAAGATGTATATATGAATCACTTAAAGGCACAGCACACTTTTTTTCTATTTGTATACAGAGTGTTTTTTTAGCTATTTTACACTTAATTAGTGCTGCTTGACTTTTATGCTATTTTATGATATTTTATTTTCATCTGTTAATTATTCACAAGCGCCTTTGTTTACTTGATATTTTTTTGCACAATTAAACCTACCTAGAGGTCTTTTAGCTGAAGTAGCATATACTCTGAAGTGGACATTCAGTGGTAAGGCATTGGGTCACAGTTCACTCATCATTGTAGAGTCGAGCCAAAGATTAGTGACGGGTGGTAATTGTGTCGATAAATTGTTCCCTCCCCAACTGAGCATGTAATAATGCAAAATAAGCTCATCAGTGCTGCAGAATGTAAAGTAAGTAATTAACAACACCACAATCCAACGTTTAAATCCGCATTGAGCTAGCGGAACCACAACATTATTCCTGACAAGCTCATATCTCCTCACATGGTGTACCTAGAACCATAGAAACATAGAATGTGACGGCAGATAAGAACCATTCGGCTCATCTAGTCTGCCCAATATTTCAAAATACTTTTAATTAGTCTCTGTCCTTATCTTAAGTCTAGGATAGCATTATGCCTTGCCTATCCCATGCATGCTTAAACTCCCTCACTGTGTTAACCTCTATCACTTAAAAAAATACTTTAAAAACTGCATAACCCACTGGCAACCTGAAACAACTCCTCGATCAATGTGTCAGTGGGGTGGATATGGTGTTTTGTTTCTTCCCATTTTTATTCGATTCATCTAAATATTTATTTATTTTTCTTTCCTCTCTTCTTCCCTCCTGGTTACCACTTAGTGGGCTGTGGGGGTAGGAGGGAGGAAATGCAAGCTAACCTCAAACGTGCTGCCCTTTATGCTGTGATATATGTAGATCTATGTGATTGTCAAAAAATAATTTGCTATATTGGGAGCACTCAGTATTGCTTTGTGATCAGACCATGCCTACGTAACTGATGAGGCCCGCGAGCCATCCAAACCTGCTATTATAACTTTTAGTCTTCTGCCCTGAACCAAACGGTACTTACGGCTCCAATCCTCAGGTCCACCACAGAGACTCCCTCCCACTCACACACCCCTATAATTTAATACACTTTCGGAGTTACACAAATCTTTTCAGCCAGACTTCAGCGGTCCACAAGCGGACCGTCACACACCTCACCGACCTACACTCTCTTTGCTCCTCTAACTCCAACTTCTTACGTTTCCTACCTCGAGGGAACAACCTTCTGTTTCCCCTAGAGGTAGTCTGCCCACAGAGAACGGTCATAGTCTGTAATCCCAGTTCACTTCCACTCTTTCTGCTCAATCTACTTACTCTCAAACCTTCCTGGTTGTGGCCCCCCGGGGTCCCGACATCCAACTCCCCCTGTCCCTCCTCCCCTACCCGTTACCCCCATCCTGGGCTGACCAAACAGCACAACAAGTAATAATTTTTACCTTCTACTAAGACACTAAAACTAAAATGTGTTTCCATAAACACAAAAGGTCTTAATATACCTGCAAAACGACACAGCCTTCTACGCTGGGCTAGTCGCTTGGAAGCAGATGTCCTATTCCTACAAGAGACCAACTTCACGCATTACCGCCACTTCCCACTAGTCAATTCACACTTTAAACACTACTTCCTAGCAGACTCCTCAGACACCAAATCCAAAGGTGCTGCCATCCTTTTTATGTGTAAGCTGCCTGCTCACCGAGTTCTCGGCTGTCGCTGACCCGGGGGGCAGATTCCTAACCCTGACAGGGAAAATAGGCACATATCGGTTCGCATTCTGCTCCCCGTACGCACCCACCCTTCCGAACCAAACATTCTGGGATACATTTCAGACCCACTTCGCAACACTTAAACACGCACACTTAACCATCGGCGGGGATTGCAACGCTGCCCAGTTACCGGCGGTAGACAGGTGATCTTGAGACGGTAGCACTCCACACCCCACAAGAATCGATTGCCTCTTCTCTCGCTTTAACGAAGCCACTCAGCTACTAGATGTGTGGAGGGCACAACACCCCTCTACACTTGACTAAACCTACTTTTCTCATGCGCACCATTCCTAATCCAGGATTGATAGATTCCTCATATCTCCTAGAACACAACCCTGGTTTATTAAGATGACCATGGGGAATATCTCATGGTCAGACCATGCAGATATCACATTAACACTGGCAATCCCGACATCACCCGTCCCTGGACTTGGTGCCTCACCCTGCTACTATTGCACGACAAGATGGTGGTCGACACTCTCAAGACCAGCATTACAGACTATTTCCATATTAATACTCTGCCAGACATCTCCATAGATGTGGTGTGGGATGTCCACTAAACAATAATGAGAGGACAACTCATATCCCTAGCCTCAAAAAACTCAGAGAGCAAAGGCTCACAGACGCCATGACCGAATTAAAATATCTAGAAGAACACCACAAACGACAACCGACAGACACACTAATGGCTCAGCTAACTGCTGTCTGAGACTGAATGAAATCCCTAACCATGGCCGACACTTCTAAAGCGCTAAAGTGGACAAAACAAAAATTCTACGAAAAAAGCAACAAGGCCGACTCAATGCTAGCAAACTGCCTTAAATACAAACTCAAGATCAGGCAGATATCTCAAATCCGTGCGTCCTCAGACACAGTGACAGAAGACCCAGGTGCCGTGGCCCAAGCATTTGTACACTACTATTTCAATCTCTACAACCACTTCCCCAACCAAGCAGCAACCATACCGGACAGGGAGACTCGTACTCATGACTTCTTGGCACCCCTCAACTTAGCCAAACTAACGGACAGTGCAAAAGAGGCCCTATCGGCAGAAATAGAGGTGGAGGAACTTAAAATAGCCCTTCAGTCTTGCAAACCGGGCAAAAGCCCAGGGCTTGCTGGCTTCACAGCCCTATATTATAAAACCTTTAGCAAACAACTACTCCCACACCTCTGCAAAGTGTTCAATGCAATGTTGAGAGGCGAACCCCTCCCCTCGGGAGATGGTGGCTGTGAATGTGTACCTTATTCCCAAACCTGGCAAAGACCATCTTGACCAAGAACATTACCACCCGATTTCCCTACTAAACTCAGATATCAAGCTCATCACAAAAGCCTTGGCCAGTAGACCAAATCCATACATCGAACGACTGGTCCACCCGGACCAAGTAGGCTTTATTCCAAACAGGCAAGCTGCAGACAATACCAGAAGGACCATAGACTCGATCTGGTACGTTCAGCATCACCAACTACCAACAGTCCTAATCTCCTTAAAATGCAAAAAAGGCATTTGACCGCTGCTTTCTATTCCAGGTGCTCAAGCACCAGGAGTTCCTAACTGACTTCACAAACATCTTGACAGAATTATATGCAATACCAACCGGATGGCTCTTACTACCGAATGTCGATGCACCAACATTCCACATAGCCAACGGCACGCGCCAAGACTGACCACTACCCCCCCTACATTTCTCACTGTCACTGGAACTGCTCCCACAAGGCATCCGCCTCACTAGGAACATCACAGGCCTACGCATTCGAGGCACAGAATATAAAGTGCTGGCCTACGCCGACGATATCCTCCTCACACTCACAAATCTCCCAAACTCAATAACAGCTACACTTCACCTCATCGACACATATGCGGCCCTGTCAGAACTCCTGCCTATAGCGCTAAATGCCGAATAACTACTAACCCTTCGACAGTCACTACAAATGAGAATCGCCACCGCTTCATTCACCTATTTAGGCATACACATACCGGCCAACCTCTCTAAACGCTACACAGTGAACTAACCCCCAATGCTCACCACTGCCCAGGGAGACCAACATGTCAACATATCTTGGCTGGGGAGAGTCATTACAATAAAAATGAATTTACTGTCACGCTTCCTTTACCTTTTCCAAACACTCCCTATCCGCATCTCAGACTTTAAAAGACTGCAATCTGCGATCTACTGTTTAGTCTGGAAGGGTGGGAAGCAGTGCGTGCAAAGAGCGACGATGTATGTCCCTAAGCTTCAGGGGGGACTAGGACTACCAAATTTATCTCATTACTACTATGCAGCCCAGTTAGCACAGGTACAACAGTGGCACGCAGCACCAGAACGAAAACACTGGGTGGATCTCGAACATGCCATCTTGGGAGCACCCCTCCCAGTACATGTGGATCTCGAAGATCCACCGTGCCCTTCCCCCAACCACCACACCGGCCTTAACACACTCACTTGACCTATAGGAGAGACTTAAAATTCGAGCTAACCTCATTCCTATCTCTGTTGACTCCCATCCTCCGCAACAAGTTATTCCCACCAGGCTTGATAGCCTGGCTCTTCCATTCCTTCAAAGTGCGTGACATCTGCAGACTTATGCACCTGTACCGACACTCTCAACCCATTTACTATGCAGACCTCCCTGACAGAGAGGGATTGCACACAACAGACTTCTTTCGCTTCATCCAATTGAGAGAATACGCCGGCTATTAAACAAGCTGGCACGGCTCCACCAACACCATTTGAGAAACACAGTATGGACTACCCCATATGTAAACAAAGATGTCAAACGATAAATACTACTGCCTTATGTCTGACTACTGCAACTCCCAAATGTACACCCTGAAATGCCATTGGTCTCTCTATGATCAAACTGAATTCTGCAATAACTGGACGCATATTGTAAGCACCATACTTTGTTACTGTGGTTCTTTGTACCCTGTTTTTTATGAGAAAAGAAACAAAACAAATAAACACAGAATGCATAAAAAAATAATAATAATTAATGTAATATTTATATCCAACACTAGCACGATGTGTATGAAACATCAGATCAGGGACAGAGAACTTGTGATATTTTCTTAGACCTTAAGACTCGTAAAATCACTGCAGAATACAATTTTAGTATGAATACCTTATGTTATTTACCCTACTTTATCATACACATCCTGTGCAGGGGTGCTGAGTTTAATGTCAACAGAGAAGCGAAGGACAGTGCAGTGGGTGGCTATGCATCCTGTGCTCACACTTAGCTTCTTGTATTGATTTATGTGTGAAGAGTGTGTCCTCTTTTTTCATTTTACAAAAAAAAATTAAGATTTCTAATGAAATTAGCACTTCTATAAATTAGCCTTGTTACAACCCCCCTGACTGTCAATCACACAACAGGTCTTGTCACTTCCTGGTTGTTTAGCTCGGGGGAGTTAAACTCAAGTGGCAGTCAATTGCTCTGAGCACCTTCTTTGCAAAGACTTCTCATTGAGCTGCATTGGTAAGTCTGTGATTGGACAGCCACAGAAAGTCTGGGCAGGACTAGAAGGGGAGGGCTTGCAAAGGCTGCAGACAAGAGAACTGCAGCTTATGAAAGCTGTTTTTACATACACCTTCAATGAAAAAAGGAAAATTAAATGCATTCATGTTTTCATTAAGGTATATCTAATAAATCAATTTTTTTTAATTTGAGCAGTGGAATATCCCTTCAATTGATGTGGCAAAATTAGTTTCCACTGTTCTTCTATCTTCTATCATATTTTCATATGTATTTGAATTATCAGATGCGCTTGTAACACTTGTCACTAGCTTGTATAGGCAATCAGTGAACTCTGGGCTTCGGAGGGTAGGGATCCCTACATATTCATAAGAAGAATGGGTTTAATAACAGGTTATAGGGGTCTGCTTGAAACAGTTTTTTAAACAATTACAGGACATACATATTAATGTATAAAGCATGTTCCTTCTTTGGTGTCATATTTCTGATCAAGAACTGAATGCAAACATCTTAGCATTTAAAATACCCAAGACGGTCTACAATTATCTCAACAAATATGAATGGCTGAATAGTCCCCAGATCATCAATGTTTTTTGTCCTTTTCTATATAATATTTTATATGGTTTTTCACATTCATTATTGGCACATATAAATTGTGATCGATAACACATAAAACAGAATTTGCCAGAAAATAGGATATCAGCCCCCTAAATCAAGTCCTATTGAGAACAGCCATTGATTGGCATATCGTAGCAAGCCTACAATGCTCTTCTATGAGAAGCATTTGATTGGATGTAAATGTCTTCAAGACTGATGACATCATCAGAAGCATATCATGCTGCAGACCAGAGGCTAACTCGCCACTAGATTACAGGTAAGTAAAGTTTTTTTTTTGTTTTTTTTTTAGATTTGTCATGCAATCAAGACAGAGTAACAATTGTGTTTTTTTGTTTTGTTTTTGTTTACCTTGGTAAGGAAAGAATAATACAACAAAATACAACAGGTACCCAAAGTTTCACAAAAAACAGGTTAACATGAATTTTTAACCAAAAAGAGTTGTCTGCCTCTACTCCTATAAAAAGAGCAGGACAAAGGGGAGAGACAAGAAATAGAAGATGTTAGAATAGGAAGGTGTAGAGAAGAGACCAAAAAATAAATAAATCACCATATCGCAGGCCGTCAAACCCTACTCCCCGTCAGAAGCCAAGCAAGCGGCAAAAAGCATTTATCCAGGGGGAACAAATTTTAAGAAAATGGTCAAAAGTGTTATGGATAGCTGCCACATGTTTTTCCATCCTAGCTAAATACCAAATTTGAGCCTGGGTGGAGAAGATTTCCAATGCATACATTTCCACAAACCCTAAACATCAGCTTATGCGAGTACCTACGTTTCTTGCTAGTACTCCCAATTCAGTGATTAAGGTCCAGTCGTATCTGAAGAAACGATGACAATCTACTAAACAAGTTCTCAGATAGAGGGCTAAGTAATGGAAAGGACCGCCAGGCATGCAGATACATACTCTCCTCATGACAACCCCTATAGCATGTAGAGGCCGAGCCAGGGAACATTTGTGCCATTCTAGAAATGTATATATATATATATGTATATATATATATATATATATATATATATCCGCTTACAGTGTAAAGACACCCATTCCCCCCAGTAACTGGGCGAGACACAGCTCTGGGAGTACAACACAATTGTATTATGCCACACATGGCTTTTATGCATAACCCCTTGCAAGGGGTCTTCCACACAGATACATAGGGGTTTCTATCCCCGGATCCTCTGTACCTGGGAGCAGGAAAAGGAACCTAGTCTCTTTGTCTCCCAGGTACAGAAAGCCCGCCAAAATAGCTAGTGCCTCAAAAGTGACCCCACCAACCATAGGAACCACCACACCAGTACATTTCCCGACCAGTCTCCGTTCAGGAGGCTCCTGTGCGAACACCAGGCAAGGGAAGCGTCTCCTTTCAGGATACAAATGCTCCCCCTGGTTGGCTTTCGTCTATACAAAATGGCTGCCACCTAGGGAAGCACTCAATCACTTTCCTAGTGGTTTCGCACTTATGTTACTGGTGTGAACGTTCTAATTAATTGGGGTGAACATTCTAATGGGGCACTGGGGTGCTCCCCATTCGGGAGACGAATGGGTTCTGTTCGTATGGACGCTCCCAAATGTGACAACAAGGCACAGCACACAAAAAACAAGTAGAAAACACACAAATAAGCAGACTAAGCAGTGGTTCTGCTACAATATATATATATCTGTGTGTGTGTGTGTGTGTGTGTGTGTATATATATATATATAGAGTGTATATATATATATAGAGTGTTATATACACACATACACACACACACACACACACATGGAAGATATTGTATACATTTTGCATCATAGTGTCTCTTTTGTATACTCACTTTATCTCAGTACACTACCCTATCCCTCGTCAATATATAGATATTTTATTTATAAGATAAATAGAATGATTTATGATCGCTATATTTATAAGATTTGCCTGATACAATTAATCAAGATTGCTTATCCAATATTTTTTCACAACACTTTGCAACATCCGCAGACACACATACACATCGTTTCTTCACAAAAACACTGCAGATCCAGAGATATTTTTAATTTGTGTTCCGGGGGCTAGTTACACCCCCAGCACACATAACTTAAGCAGTAAAGAACTCTGTGCATGAAAAAAGTTTGTCGTCAGCGCACACTTGTCTCCCCTTCTTCCCTCCCAAACTGATTGTAGCCCTCCCCACCTCGTTCATACAGAAGCCTTTGATTGGACCTCAGCGCGGTTCCTGTATTGTCAGATGGTGGTGCACCGAGCAGCACTTGGAAGCTTTGCCCAGCACTGGCTTAAGGTGAGTAAACCTTATTTTAAGACATTTTGTTTGGGGTGCGACATAATATTGCCATTAGGACATTATTCTTGTAAAATCAAAAAAGGGTTGGAGAAACCATTTAAACGGACACTACATTCACCCAGACCACTTCATCTCATTGATGTGGTCTGAGTACAGTGTCCCTGTCCCCTTAACCTTGCAATGTAGAATATTTTAGTTTTAAAGGAACTGTGATGTTTACACTGCAGGGTTAAGCCACTAGAGACGCTTCCTACAGTTTCACAGACTATATCATCTTGAAAAATCCCACAGGAAAGCGTTGATTCAGTGCTTTCCTATGGGGAAGGCCTAATGCGTGCACAGCATTTGCTGTGCATGCGCATTAGGGCCCTCAGCGATGATAACCGTTAAGTGAAAAAAAAGGAAGGAGGGCCACAAAGGCAGATGGACAATGTAGTGTTAGGAATACCGTTCTGTATTCTTTACACTATAGTGTTCCTTTGACAAACTGATGGCAAAATTGATACCCCAGATGTTTCAAAAACTATTTTCCATATTGCACAGCCAACCTTAGGTCTGTTATCACATAATGGGAATTGTACTTCAGAAACACCTGTGTTACGGTTTGCCATTATTTTCTTAACCCCGTCGCGTTTGCCGAAAAGGGATTTTTTTTCTAACCAAAAATGAAACTGCATCCACGTCTCATGATATCCACCAGCAGACCAGCTTACAGAAAAAAAAGTAAGCAAACTTTGTTAACTCTTTCAATAACCTGCAAGAGCTCACTGGTGTTAAATGCATGTCAAACCCATAATCCAGTGGAAATAGAGTGTTAAAAAACTTTAGAGTCGGTGGGGCCTGACAGCAAAGATGGCCAGTCACACGTTAAGAGGTCCTGCAACAACGGACAAACGTGTGAGGCTACCGACTGACATAGTGGCATTAACGGCAAATTGACATCGGGACCAAACGGAGAAAAGCATTCTGAACACTCCGATACATGTCCGACACCAATACGCCACGGAAAATCTCCAACCGACCATGAGGCCTAAATCAGAGCAGAGCCTGAGGACTGGGGGAGATGGCCGATCCCCCGGCATGGGGCCACGCTCCTAAGCAGAAGCCCACCGCAGCCCTGCTACCCCCCCTATGGACTGGCGTGGTTCATCCCGGTCCTCGCTGGGGACGGTTACCCCCACGCCCATACCGGCACAAGAGGCGAAATCAGCAACCACACAAAGCTTACAAGACAGCCAAGATGGCGGCACGGCCACGGCCTAAGAGCAAGCACCCACTCATCGAACCACCCAAGCACACAAGGGACTTCATAGGCCTGCTGCGCACCCATCTCTGGGCAAAGCTCAAAGCCCAGAGACAATCTTACCAGCTGGCGATAAGAGAGGTGGCGGCGTGGATCCGTCCGACCATCCGGCGCACCCTGCTATGGTGTCCCCCTCACAACTCCAGAACGACCTCCAAACTGAGTAGGAGCCGAAGCTCCATCAAGCGGGAAATGGTGCCAGGCCCCTCAAACGCTGAAACTTACGATCCCGCGCCACTGAAGAAGACCCGGCCAATCCCTCACTAAGCGGTCCCGGAAACCAGCAATCAGCACAGCACAAACCCTCACACTGATGACCACAAAGCCCAACGTGATGCAGATAGAGATGCAGTGAGGCTGGATCCGGGGAGACGAAACCGGCGGAGAGCCCACACACTGTTGAGGAAACCCGGAAGGGACCATTACTCAACCACTCAAGCAAAGCTGCCAGAACGGGCATCGGGTGAAGCAACTCGGACTTATGCAATCCACGGCTCACGGCCAACAACCCTGCCTATAACGCAGAGACTGACACTCTCAGCAGCTGAAAGTAATGTATAAGACCCCACTATCCAGGAAGAACACTCACCCTGCACAGCCAGCACTACAGACACAGTAATGGTGCCGCAGCATACTCTTATAACTTAACACTTACCTGGGCTACATTAAATGTAATACAATTATATGCTTTGTTTTGGTCCGTGTCTGTGACCCTTACATTTACTAATAGGATAGACCCAGCATACTGTATTGTATAATGGCCGCGCAGCCCGACCAGGTTATAAACGTGCTGTAGCCTGAAGCACCACGACTTTCATTATATATTGAAATAAGCTGCAGCAGTTCAGGCATAGTTAATGTAACCACTAGCTGAACTGTCTATTCACCCTAGCCGTGCTAGCATTGAACGATAGAGAAGCAACGTTTTAACTTAATCTATAGCATTAATCTCCCATTGTTTCATGTTGTCATGTTTGATCCAACCTTGTACCACACTTTTTCCAATAAGCTGAACTGAAAAACTACTAAGCGACAATTATACATAAAAATTTGCAGTAACCTCTAATGCCTGACTACTGTAACACGATGTCTATATAACTGTTTACCCTTGCTGTTGTAGCATTGTAAGCATGATGTGTTGAACCCTTGCACAAATAAAATAAAGAATGAAAAAAAAAAAAAAACTTTAGAGTCCTCTCTAAATAAATAAAATTAAAATAAATACATTTAAAGAATGTAAAAAATTTTTTTTTTTTAAATATATATATACATATATATTTATACACACACACACACACTACATGCCATTTTACTATATAAAAAAAAAAATTAAAAAAAAAAAAAAAAATCTACTGGCCCACACACCCAACTTTTTTTTTTCTACTTAACTAGGTCCCCAAGCAGTGTCATTTCTCAGATGATTAACACCTCCCCCATTCTTGCGGTTTTATTACAGATTAGTACAGACTCCCAAGCAGCAGGAACAGATTCAGACAATTACAATCAAGTCAGGGCACACGCCTGCCCCGGCCTTGTGAACATGAGCAGGGTACTGATGAGATACTTATTTTCAAGCCCCCAACCCCCAATATCTATTATTTTTTTTTCCCATTTCATATTATAAAACGTATCATGTCAGTTGCCAGAAAAGGGCCAGCTGCATAATGTTCACTAGTGCTTTATTTTTTAGCAATGTTGCTAGAAAGGAAATGAAATTCTTTGACAGCATTCTATAAGATATTTTTAGAAATTTAAAAAGTAATATCTGGATATAAAAAGAAAAAGATTTAAAAAAAAAAAAAGTATTGTTGTAAGGATTTAGAATTATGCTTGAAATTCAAAAGTGAACATTGTTTTCAGAAATTCACAAAATTCTGTCTGCTAGCACAGGATATCCTTCCTACGCCACACAACAAGTCTGCACACGTTGCGCTATGACATTAAGATGTGGACCTCTACTCACAACAATCGTGTTATTATTAATAAACTGGGAAACCTGAAAACGGAGTAGAGATTTGTGCATTTACAGCTAAAGTAGTTGACCTAAAGAAAATTTAAGAAAAATCTCTAACTTAGCTGTTATTCCAGTTCCGTCAAATTTATCTAAAATTTACTATATCTTGCTCTGTTTTCCCCAATTCCAAATATAGTGAATTCCATAGCTATTTCATTGCGAATTTGCCATTTTGAATGGCGCCTAAGAAAAACAAGGCTATTGGACATAAATAATAGATTCCTCGCTCAATCAATAAATATAGATGGCATTCGGCACATTTTATCTACATCAGGAATTCCTGGGAAAAGATGTACATAATGGTATTTCCTATGTAATTTTTTACATTTGATTGCGAAATGCATTCAAATTGTCACCTTTTTGCCCTCGGGAAGGAAATCATGACAATGAAATAGTGAATGGTTCTCTCTCACCAGTCCTGTCGCATATTAATAATGTAAGATTTGTCTGTGAAGTCCGAATATAACAGAATGACGGAGAAAACACCTTTCTAGAATTATGCGAAGAATGGTACATATCCATGCTTGTATTGTGTGGCCTGTGAAAGAGTAATAAAGGCTTTCAAGGCCAATCCCCTATGAGAGCCAAAAGTTGTAATGTCAATCATTTTTAAAATTTAACTGTGATCGATCGTACCTTATATATCTCTAGAATTTATACCACTGAATAAAACAATGAAACTCACCTATAACTTACGTTGACCTGTTTGTTTGGTTTTTTTTGGGGGGAGGAGGGGTTGTTGTGTTTGGAGCTCTGTTTTTTTTTTTTTTTAATCTAAAATGGCATCATAAGCCAGTTCACTGTAGGCACAGCTAAGGCACAAATTGCAAATGAGGAGGAGAAATAACAACATTGCTTTATTTCTCATCTTCTCTGTGTGCTTTATCTCTGTTTACTGCCAGGTGCATTTAACAACTTTTAACTTTACTTTTCAAACCTTTATTTGTTAAATATAGGGAATTAATTTAAAAGGAGCAATAAAGTCAGCCAAAGCACTTCATTACATTGAAGTGGTCTGGGTGCAGTGGTTCTGTAATTTTAAAGGGACACTATAATCACCAAAACAACTTTAGGTTAATGAAGCAGTTTTGGTGTATAGAACATGCCCCTGCAGTCTCACTGCTCAGTTCTCTGCCATTTAGGAGTTAAATCACTTGGTGTATGAAGCTC